CTTTAGTCATGAAACTACTAGGACTACTACAGTCAGCTGGGCACTGATGTGGTGTCCAATTTTAGTCATGAAACTACTAGGACTACTACAGTCAGCTGGACACTGATGTGTCCAATTTTAGTCATGAAACTACTAGGACTACTTTAGTCAGCTGGACACTGATGTGGTTCAGTTCCAATGTGATTTAACTTGAATCCACTTCTTGAATGAAATATATATAGATATTTTTTTACAACAAAAGTTGTTTTAAATTTTGTTTAAGAACTCAATATTTGGATGATAAGTTTTAAGAAATTGAGTGCAAGAAATGTAAAATGAACACAAGCCTTCATTTTAGTATGTATGTTTTGTTAGTACATAGCTTAAGAGTAAAACAAGTTTTCATTCTTAAGCCTAAAGTTGCCAATGGTGGTTGACTTTTTAAATACACCTTTATCTAAAACCCGTAAGCACCAAATTGTTTGTGGATACATAGTTAAAGTAAATTAAGAATCACACAACAACATATAAATAAATTCCATCAATATTGTACTCAATCTCTATTAGTAAAATCACTTATTTTGTTTTTTGTTAGTGTTGTAAAAGCCACTCAATACAATACATTTCCATTAATAAATATGCTGTAAACATCTTAAAGTAAATTGAGGGTTAAGAACCGTGTAGTGTATACTGGGATTTTTTTGGTGTTCTGTCTCATCTTGATTTTCACAATCAACTTAATGCTTGTATTTTAGAACAAAGATGACAGCATCATATTAATGTTAGTGTAATTTTTTATTTTTTTTTATGCTTTGTTAAACATTAAAGCCCAACCATTAAAAAACATTGTTCCAGGAGTTTATCTATTCACACTAATCTCTCTATTTGTTTAGGTTGCAGGGCCTGACTCTCTAATGCTTAGTTCTCAGACTGAAAGAAAGCAAATTAGGGGCTACCCTAGTCAATCCCAACCTCTCGATGGTAAGTGGAATGATTTAAAGCAAGCTAGGTGCTACCCCAGTCAATTCCAACCTCTTCATGGTAAGTGGAATGATTTAAAGCAAGCTAGGTGCTACCCCAGTCAATTCTAACATCTTCATGGTAAGTGGAATGTTTTAAAGCAAGCTAGGTGCTACCCCAGCCAATTCTAACATCTTCATGGTAAGTGGAATGTTTTAAAGCAAGCTAGGTGCTACCCCAGTCAATTCTAACATCTTCATGGTAAGTGAAATGATTTAAAGCAAGCTAAGTGCTACCCCAGTCAATCCCAACCTCTCGATGGTAAGTGGAATGATTTAAAGCAAGCTAGGTGCTACCCCAGTCAATTCCAACCTCTTTATGGTAAGTGGAATGTTTTAAAGCAAGCTAGGTGCTACCCCAGCCAATTCTAACATCTTCATGGTAAGTGGAATGTTTTAAAGCAAGCTAGGTGCTACCCCAGCCAATTCTAACATCTTCATGGTAAGTGAAATGTTTTAAAGCAAGCTAGGTGCTACCCCAGTCAATTCCAACCTCTTCAATGTAAGTGGAATGATTTAAAGCAAGCTAGGTGCTACCCCAGCCAATTCTAACATCTTCATGGTAAGTGGAATGTTTTATTGTCACTTGTAAATTCTTTCTTTGAGACTCCTTGAATGGGGTGAATTTTGTTTTTGCTCTAGCTTCCAGTGTTCTGTTATATGTATTACTTGTGATGGTCAGTGTTCTGTTACTTGTAATAGTCAGTAGGAGTATAGTTACAAATCTGTCAAGTGCTGGATAAAATATTTGGTCTTCGACATTGATTCCATTTTTTGTCCAACTAAGGTGAATGTTACAATGGCGTATTTTTCAGGAACAGTCAACAATAATGAAGAGGCTGCTCCAGTGTTGAACAGCTTTACTTCTGGCACGCACCAAACAAATCATTCCTCGAACTATCCTGGACCCTATGCAGGACAGAAAACTTCTGTACTGGGTTCTTCAGGTATACCTTCCACTACTGCTAGTTACACACATCAAGGCTCATCTTTAGCAACTTTGAACAGCCAACAAATTCTGTCCAGCACAAACAACCAATCTCAGGGAAGCTACTCTGGGTCACAGAGTCAAACCAATTCTCACTATCCCTCAACAACATATAGTATTCCACAGGCCATGTACTCTGGTTCCTCACAGACTCCAGCTGGCTCTTCATTTTCTTCACAGAGAGGTAAAGAGAATAGCCATAGAGTATTCTTTAAAGGGTTTGTGTAGATGTTATACATAGTTTTGTTTTTTAAGAGTGTAGACTTACTTGTAAGTGCTTGTATTAAAGTTATTAGTCTATTAATCTGCATTTGTGTTTTATAGCACACCACAAACAACTGTTTAACCGAGTTGACCTTTTAAAACAACTAGAATAACCAGTAGTTTCTGTTTGTA